CGAAGAAATCAAATTAAATAACATCATTATACGAAAGCCCGTCTCAATAAGTGTTTTGACAGCTAGAGATATCAATTAATTGTAAACGCCAGTGTATGATATCTAAACATATGGTCATACAACATAGCATGTTTTTGTTCTGTCATCGTGAAACGTTTGCAGGAATTCATTCTTTACGTCGATTTTGTGAAATTCGGCGTCCCTTTCCAATGCTTGGTAAGTCGCTGTTGTATCACTATAGATTTGAAATGTTTATATCTTTACAATTGTATTTCGTTATTCAGGACCATGATTGAAAACAGCTTTGGTGATCACGTTTTTTTTTCATGTATAACTATGTTTCAATTAATAAAAATGAATACTTTCCTCCGACTTTTTGTTTGTTGTTGTTGTTTCCTCTAATGAGGTGTTTATTAAAGAAGGTCGATGAAAATAGATTTCACACTTTTGAGATGACATGCCTCAGGAGAATCATGGGTGTTACCAGATTTGACAGGCTAAGAAACACACACATACGAACACAACTTAACATGGAAGAAACCATCATCGACAGGGTTGCCACAAAAAGACTGAGATACTTTGGACATATTATCAAGCGAATAAATCCAAAAAGATACCCCACATCCTTCTCAACGGAAATGTACATGGTAAACGCCCAAGGGGAAGACCAGCTAAGAGATGGACGGACTGCATCAAGGCGGACTGCAACAGCATGCAGACAACTTGACTCCCTGACTAAAGCCACTATAGGCTAACAGAAGATAGGAAGGTGTGGCAAGCCGTTGTGAAACAGAAGCCATCATACATCACAGTGATGGTGTGGCCGGCTTAAGTCAAAAAGTCAAGTAAGTTAAGAGGTGTTTATTTACATTCAAACATCAAAATCAAGTTGTGAGAACAAATACAATTGACGTACAATTTTACCAATAGAAATCGCAAATTTTCTCAACTATACAATATTTTGCAACTTTTCATCTAAAGTGCTTGTAACAGTTTATTTGATTGGGAGGTTGAATTTAAATTTGGTTATAATTATAATAGTCTGTTAGGCCTGTATGATGATGGTAGTAACAGGAAGAAAAAAAAAGGGGGGGGGGCATGTGTCAAAATAAAGGAGGTCAATTATCAGAGGTGAAAAGGAGCACTTATCAGAAGGGGAAGGGGCACTTAATACAACGGAAAAGGGGCACTTGTTGTAACAAGGGCACCTCTCAGATTTAAATAGGGGCAATTATCGTATGTGAAGGGGCATTTATTAGAGGTGGCAAGATGCACTGATCTGAAGTACAAGGGGGCACTTTTCTTATGTAAAAAGGGCACTTTTGGGGTACTTGAGGAAATTTGTGTGTGAAAAAGCCAATCCGATGAGAAAATAACAGTCAACGCTAAAAGTAAAACAGAGACATATCTATGAAATAAAAGGGACGTGTTTGGACATAATTAAGGACGCCGAACAAGGCCAAAAGAAAAATTATTAATAATTGGATAATAATTATACCTAAGGGAATGCACTTCTTCTGTCACAGGAGTCTTGAGGACGAGCTTAGCGAAGGCAGCTGACCTTGCGTCTCTAGCTCACTATAGCTCAGCAACCAACGCAACAGTACAGCGCCGCGGCCATAGTACGTCTAGTACTCGATGTCGGCGCGCGCAAGCGTATCGGAAAGTAGCTATAGTATACAGGCGCGCCAAGCTGCTGAGTTTGGTATTATTATATTAGTCTAAAAGTTTGGTCTAAATAGTAAATAGTCGAGGTCTACAGAGTTGATCCTGATATTCGGCCGTATCAGACGACAGACTGTTGAGTCATCGCCGGTCGCGGATCAGGCGGATCTGTAACCAGCAGTCTCATACATAGCTAGGCTAGCCTAATGTCCCGGGCTAATGTGCAGTTTATAACTAAGGACAAGGTGAGCCTTAACATTTTTTGGTTACGATTAGGTCTAGAAATCTAACAAGTTAGATCTAGAAGTCTAGACCGGAAATTTCTGTCTCTTTCGTTCGTTAGCCTCTTGGGTAGGGTTGACTCCTCTTCGAAAGAGATAGAGCCGACCCTACCCAAATATTAAGAGGCTAACGCGCGAAAGAGGCAGACATTTTCGGTCTAAATTATGAATATGAAAAATTATGATGGCCAGCCTATCGGCCATGGTCATGGACTATCATCACTTTATCAGAGGCCTAGATGGTGTTGTTGTGTGTCTGACAGGTTGTGTATCCGGACAGTAATAGCACCAGCAATTTGAAGAAATTTACATTAAATGTTTCATTTAAGACTAGATATAGATCTAGACCTCTAGACTAGTTTAGTATTACTATTGATATAGTCTAAGACGAATGTTTATGATTGCAAGTGCAATGTGAATGTGATGCAGATTTGTTGGGGTTAAAATCCAAAGACATCAGTAACGACTTCATTTTTGGACCAGGGTTGTGTGGGCCTGGTACCGGGTGGGGGCCGGGAACAAAGCTGTCAAATTTGTTGCGCCATGCCCATATCTTAAGGTAGGTCTAGACCCTAGTCTATATCTAGGGTCTACGTCTGCGCTCCTAACATTTTGCTTGAATGGTCTATTTTTTGTGCAAAATTTCGAGCAAGATCAACACAACACAATTATTTTTTAGAGCTGATATTCTCGAAATTGTAAGTAAGAAGTGGTACCAGGCGCGTACGCAGGGGGGGGGGGGGGGGGGGTTGGGGGTTAAACCCCCCTTTGGTAATTTTATGTATGTAAACCCCCCTAAACAAACCTAAAATTATGCCCACGGCCGACTTGAAAAAGGTGACCTTATCCCCCCCCCCCAACTGAGCAAAATGTCAAATTTCCAAATTTCGAGACCAAAAAAAAAAAAAAAAAGTGTCCTCTTCCCCCCCCCCCCCCCCGCTTATTCAGCGGTCGGCTGAGTCGTTGCGATTTTTTTTGGGACCAAAAAAAAAAAAAAAAAAGTGACCTCTTACCCCCCCCCCCCCCCCCCCCCCCCGCTTATTCAGCGGCTGGCTGAGTCGTTGCGAAATTTTCGGACCGATTTATAAATGTTAACCCCCCCCCCCCCCCTTGAAAAAATCCTGCGTACGCGCCTGAGTGGTACCAACTGATTGTATCATGTATGATATCTTGCCTTACAAATTATGAAATTACCATATTCTGATGGATCACATTTTAAAATAAATCGGCTGTAAAACTAAAAGGCACCGTGCACGAAGTAAGGTCTAGATAAATAGTTTTTTTTTTTTTACCTTTTTAGTTGAAGCGCGCACGCCGAACCGACATCGAATTTTTAGATCGCAATATCTCCGGAATGCTTTGACGATACATTTTCTAGTTAAACCAATTTGTAGTAAAAAAAAGTTTGCAGTCCATTTGATAATAATTGAAATAAATAAATGTGTGTAGAATATGAGAAATCATATATCGAATATCACATTTTCAAATATTGTCAAAATCTCCGCGAACTTTGGTCACCCCTTCATACATTCACGCATATTTCATTGTGGTTGTTGATGACCGTGATATTCGCAAAACGCTGCAAAAGTTGCCGATGTTTTGTTAACATTTTCATAATTTCCCACCCAATTTCATTTTTCCTACAATTCCTACTCGCCCTACCTACATGAAAAATAAACATCAAATAGACCGCTCCTATTAGATAAACCAACGTGAGTTTTTGTCATTGGTGATATTTTCCAACATAAAGTGTCATAGCTTTCTAAAATATTGTTTGGAAACTTGTTAAATTACTGTTTGAATAAACTTTTCGGCCACCCAACCTGTTCGGACCCCCGCCCCCCCCCCCCCACTCCGAGAACGGACGGACCCCATGCGTGTTGCCAAAATGTCCTTTTCGTAACAAAAGAAAAAGGTCGACCCGTATTGACTTTACACACCGGACTTTTGCTGAAAGGGGGGGGGGGGTGCTGAAAAAGGCTCGTATACAAAAGAAAAAGGTCGAGCCGTATTGACTTTACACACCGGACTTTTGCTGAAAAGGGGGGGGGGTCGGTTGGAACACGCATATGCGTACCCTAAATAACACTGTGGGGGGGGGGGGGGCCGGGTTCGGACCACGATCAGAAAAACGTTAACGAAATGCAATTCAACAACATTTGGAAGTCCTGTGTGCATCCATAAATACATGTATTGTGTAAACGTTTCAATGGCAATTACGTAATCTGAGCATGAGTCTAAACCAGGCCTTCTCAACTGGCGGCGCGCGCGCCACTTGTGGCGCTTGCGGTCAGTGGGAGTGGCGCGCGACTGTTGCAACAACAAAACAAAAAACAGAAAGAAAGAAAATATATATTTTAGAATTAAATACTCAGCTAAATAAAAAAGTTGCAGTTGAATTTGAGCCCAAAATGGGGAATTTATCGTTTTTTACCATTTTATACGATTCTAAACTATAAGGTCTGAACAACAAATAAGCTTACGATGGGATACCAAGTTTAACATTGCCAATTTGTGGAAACATCTTGTTTTTGTCGTTTTGATTTTCACTTTATTTTGACATTTCCCGTGTTTATTGCACACAAAAAAACTACATATAAATATACCTCCAGTGTAATTGTACCCAGAAATTTTACTGTTTTTTTCACATCAATATGAAATTAATATGATTGATTATATTGTGGAATGAAATAGTGTTAGAAATGCCCCATTTGGGCCTTTAGAAAGCCCTAATTCCAGCATCTTCAGGGGCACCGACCCCTGCTTCCCCCGTTAGGGCTTCACCCCTGGACCCCACCCATTTTCGGCTCAGTTGCTACGCTCCCTCGCAGAACATTCAACCATACAGGGTGGCACTTCAACTACAAATTCTTTTCATTTTGGCACTTCTAATAAACTAGTTGAGAAGGCCTGGTCTAAACCATGCAGGGTTGTCGCGATTTCAATCTACTTGATTTTAAATCGCGATTTTAATCGTCCGGAATACAACAACAAAAAGTCAATAAACCTGTGTGTAAAAGATTTTTTGTTTGTTTGAAATAATTAAAAGTTTATTTTTTTTCTTACTTTTGCACTGGTCAGCGTAACGATATCAATATTTTGTTACTAGCTTAAACCTAGGCCAATCACTATTTATGATGCAAACATATTCAAAGCTCATAATGAGTTTTTATCCTATTTGCTCACCTTAGCCAAAGGACTACGAACCCCCTATCCTATCCCCTCTGGTTTACATTTTCAACTACTTCTCAAAAACACAAATAGTAACAAAGCAAATCCTCAGGCAGGGAGGTTTGAAATTGTTCTGAAGGGCTACTGACCCCTCTAGGAGGAGAGGGTTTGGGAGTAGCAACCCCTTGAAATTCCCTCTTGTTTACATTTTCAACTTCTCAAAAATGCAAGGCCAGATATTAACCAAACGTGGAAGGAATCAATTTTAAGCAAGGGAGATATAAAGTTGTTCGAATTAAGTTACGTATCGCCAGTGGGGGCCCAGAGGCACCCCCCCCCCCCTCAAATTCATTAGTGGCAGTAATTGCACATTTTATTATTCTTCTTGAAACCCGTTCGCTGGATTCAAACTAAAGTGTGTAGGAATCATCTGCAGGAAAGGGAGTTCTTAAGTTATTAAAGTGGGGTATAATTATTCCCCCATTTATTATGAACGGGGCTTGGGGCAACCTTCAATACCCACCTTCTGTTCATTTTCCTTAGAAACCAAAGGAAAGAAGAACATAAATATACCCACGTGCTGTGAATCCAAAGAGGTTGTTTATTAGACGTACTTTATAATTAATAGTAAAGTCTAGATCTATATCTAAGTGATGAAAGCGACTTACTAAGTGGTGGTTACCACTTTCTCAGACTTGGTATCAGTTTTGTACCTCTTTTTTCGCGCATGCCCTCTCCCGGGCTTTTCATACTCTTGATTTTTTCTTTTTGCTTAAGCAGTCACCTATTTGCGTCTCCCGATTTCACCTATTTGTTTTTTTTACTATAAATACGAGTCTATATAAAACTGCGGATGTGTAGCTTTATGTCTATGACGTCCGCAGTTATATCTCCATCAAAGGGATTATTAACCCTAGAATTATTGATCGCGTGCTATTGACAAAAATAAAAGCGGCTATAACATAAGGAGGGGGGATGTACAAAGGATAGTGTAAGTAGTGTTTTGAGAGTAGAGAAACGAGCTGACCGGCGAACACGTCAAACCAGAAGTGTTACTTTATTGGGTGTTTTTACTCCATGGAGACAATCTTCATTTGTATATGGTATGTTATATTGACAATCTTACTGTTAAGAAATAAGAAATAAGAGTTTAAGATATAAACTTCTGCTACCATCTCTGAAAGAGTGCTCTTCTGATATGAAATAGTCTTGATCAGTACAACATTTACATGTAGTTTTGTGTTGATTGTATACCATAGAGTGGCGTATTTATACATGCACATGCTGAATTTATAATCACCACCATCGTGTGACGGCTGCATCCGAGATGAAGTTGGGCAGTCTCCCTAAGTCTTAAAACCTATAACACTTTTAAAGGATGTGCTTCATGGAAAATTAATAATTCACTTTTAAGGGTGACGAATATAAGGTGAAAATAGAATGTTCGATTCTCATATTAAAATCAAATTAGAAAAAGGCAGACCTAAATGCGCAGATGTAATGGGAAAGGTGCAAAATTAAAATTAAAGAATATATTCGAGGGGAAACCTTGGATCAAACTTTTAAACAATTACGAGAAGAATTTACTCAGTTTCGTAATGAAAATTACGAAAATCCATCTGAATAAAATTAAGGGAAAATGGAAAAAATTACAAAGAAATTAGATCAATGGTTAACATATAAATGTAAAGGAGCTTTCATGAGATCAAGACAGAAATGGGTGGAATATCGTAAACAATCAACAAGATATTTTCTGCAAACTGAAAAAAGAAAAGAAAACGAATTACAAACCAAGAACCTATTCTTACTGTAATCGTAAATTTGTTTGTATACATATCCATGTTATTAACTGATACATGATGTATATACTCTTAAAAAAGATAGATAGAGATAGAGCTAACTTGTCTGGAATAGGTAATTATTTGGCCGCAAATGGACGTCCTACAAAAATGGAAGACGAAGCGTAGTCTTGTATAAAGGACTGATTACTGAACAAGAACGTCGGCAAGCTATTTTTTCTATCAAAACAGAAATTCATCTGGTAGTGATCGTCTATCAGTCTATGTGTATTATTTTGTCGATGCTCTTTGGAAGAAATTAAAACATTTGTAATAGATTAGTAAAGGTTTTAAACAAAAGAATAATTAACCGAAATCCCCAAATTAGCTGTTCTTACGTTGTCATTATAATAAAGGGGATAAACAAAGTGTAGATTAATGGAGGCCAATATCGTTACTAAACACCGATTACAAAATCATAGCAAAAATTTTATTTTAAAGACTGAAATCTGAAATAGATAAACTGGTCTCTTTTTCTTGTATTTTTGTTATTCTTGATCTTTAAAAAGCTTTTGATATGGTTAATCATTTTTGTTTTCTTCAGTTATCATATAAGTTGAATTCTAAAGACTCATTCATTGGCTGGATTAAGGTAATTTATACTAATGCGATGGGAAGTGCTTAAACAATGGTTGGATATCAATTTTTTTGAAAAGAGGCGGGGAACTACAAGGCTGTCAGCCCTGTGCAGTTGTTTATTCTTGTTGTTGAAGTATAATGGCCTTGAAAATCAAGCAAAATAATGATGTATTAATGTCAATTCTCGAAATAATGATAATTCGCAAGTTTGTAAAATATCACAATTAGCTGACGATGCTTTCCTTTTTCTTCATTATGTTGAATCCGCCAAAATTCCACTTGGAGATTAAGGAGCTTTGGACACTATGCTGGGCCGAATTTAAATGTTATGGAAACAAAAGCAATAAGAATGTCAACCCAATTTGAATTCATAAATAGCTTAAAATGGATTGATGACCCAATTAAGTATCTGGGCATTTAGCCTCACTAAGGATAAAAAGAAATAGGATCGCCTAAACTGGGCTATGAAACTTGAAGAAGTAAAATCAATCCTCAATTTTTGGAAATTGAGAAATTTAACTGTCCATGGTAAATTTGTTCTTATTAAATTGTTAACTATTTCACAACCTGTGTATTTTACTTCAGTATTATCAATTCCTCCGAAACTGATTGTGGATCTGAATAAATTGATTTATAATTTTCTAAGGAACTCGAAAAGAAATAAGGTCAAAAGATCTGTTTTAATAAATACAGCTGAAAATGCAGACCTAGGTATGGTAGATTTACATTCAAAAGTTCAATTCCTGCATTTGGCATGGTTAACAAGACTCTTTGAAAATAACCATCATGCACCTTGAACAAAATATGTTTAAAAATTGGATTGAAGAAATATGTCCGTTGTCTTTGATATTAAAAACAAAATGTTCTCGTAATATAAAGATATGATGTTGATGCTATGTACAAAAACACAAAATGCCTAATTTCTATGTTAATTTGCTTGTATCCTGGAGTTAACTTAGATATGTTTAATTTGTTAATGCCCCTTTTTACTTTTACTAGTGCCCCTTTCCACGGTAATAAAACCCCCTCCCTTGCTCTTAAATGCCACTTTTCACCTCTGATAAGTGCCCCCTACTTTTTGGATACGTGCCCCTTTTTCCTTCCTAACATGTACCCTATTTCCTTCGGATAAATGCCCCTATCAAAATTTGATTGGTGCCCTTTTCCATTCTCACAAGTGCTTTTTTTCATCTCTGTTGAGTATCCCTTTTCAGGTGCAAGAAATGCCATTTTCACCTCTGATAATTGCCCTTTTTACTTTGACACGAGCACCTTTCTAATAACTGTCTTATTCCTTTCTGATAAGAGCCTACTTTTCCTTTCTCCATAACATGCAGCCCTAATTCAAGGCGACTTAAAGCCTCTTTTTCTTCAATTTTCCCTAGAGCTCGCTCGCTCGCATTTATAGATATAAGTAATTATGTAACTTATAAAAAGAAATTTTCAGTCTTTCTTCATAAGATTGTGCTTGAAACTCATCAGGTTTTTTTTGTTGGTCTTCTTTAAAAGATGTAATTTTTTCGCACTGGGACCTCACAGATCTAAACAAAAAAAACATTTGCTCGCTCGCTCGGAAATTTATATTCAGACCATCACACCCAAAGTTCAAAGTTTGTTGTACTACGTAAAGAAAGAAACACATATCGATGTCATCCCTGGTAGTGTAATCACAATCATGAAGATGTAGGGGTATATACCAATGTCTAAAATTGGTGTATGTTTTTTTGATGTTTCCCTTTGTAGGTGACCTGGTGCCCCTTTTTTTTCTTCAGAAAGTGCCCTTTTTTGTTGGTGCTCCCCTCCAGCTTTGGAAGACACTCCGCCGCCCTTGCATTATGCTACTTGGTGGTGATGCGGATTGTGTTCTGACCCCCTCCCCCCCCCCCAAAAAAAAAAAGTTTTTGCTCATTACGTCACTGCTCATATTTGTAGGTAAACATGTAACAAGATAACAAGATATTGCACAGTCCCATATACAAATACAAATACAAATATTACACATTAAAAGTACAATGGTTAATTTTTTTTTTTTAAACACGACTAGAACTCACTCCTCCATAAACTACCATACCCGTTACCTCACAGTAACAAAGCTAATAATAGCTTTACAAACATAGATATATTATCAATCATTTGCAGATCCTGATTCCCAAGACACACAATTTTAATAAATCACAGGATGAAAAGTACATGTTTATTCAGACGAAAGTGTATGTTGAAAAAAAAAAAATTCATGTACATAATTATGTGACAATTTGATATTTACTTGTGAGCTAGATACGTTGGTCATATAAAATGCATCAATGAAAACATTTCTTGTGCAAAATATAAATATAGTCAAGTAAAAATGTATATATAAAATACAGATAAGATGTTTCATCTGCGAAGGTTAGATTTTTTTAAAATGGTCTTTGGCTTATTTTATTCAATTTTTTTTTACAGAGCCACCGGGGACGACACCATGCAAGACTCCGGCGGTCCCATCAAAATTCTTCATTATGTCATCTCCAAGTCCTGGACCCTGCCCATTATCTTCATGGGACTCTCAGCATTTCTCTACATCTCTTCAGTACACCAAGATTTCATGAAATATACTATCAGCAATGTTCAAAGGTAATAAAGATTTTTTTTTTTTAATGACTGCTGGCTAGACGATCGCAAAGACTTCCCCAAAATCACCTTGAGGCGAATTCATTAGCCTTGAGCTTGAATATTCAAATATGAAGATGGTATAATTATTACATATAATTTAAACGTGCATTCCATGGGCAATACAATAAGCAATTGAAATTGCCCTTGATTTGATTTCTTGAAAGTATGTGCGATTGTGCTGATAATGTGCATGATGCTCATTGAAAAGTGAAAAAAAGTCAAAATTATTAACGTTTTCCTCAAGTCTAATGTCATGTTCCTTGCTTTTAAATGCATACTATTCAGACTAACCAGTCTATGCAAATACAGATTTTCCACTGGGTCAAAGGTTGTCACCGATCAATGAAGCCTTTCCATTTGAAACCATAATTATGTGGGCTGTTTTGTTACGGGATATTTTCATGGAATTATGGGGGATTTTGCATCAACATGCTCTTAATTTGAGTAAATAGAATCCCCTCTTAACAAATCTCTTTTAAAATGGTAGAACAATGTAGGCGATTGCCATAGCCTTGTCCATCATCTGTTGAAGGCGAACATTACATTATTTATTACTTAATTCGATCATGATTTATGTGGGAAATCACCCAGGGTTGAAAATTGCCTTCAAAAGTTGAATTCTCGAAAGTATTTGCAATCGTGTTGAAGTTTACACAACTATATTATATTGTGTTTTTATTCTACAGCCCGTCTCATAGAGTGTTCATTGAGCCTTCATGGAACCAAACAAATGGATTGACTGCGAAAACCGCTTTGTCTTCGGCTAGTAGATTTGTGGCGCCTTCGATAGAGAACAAAGTTGAAAAGAAGACTCTCACCCCTGGACTGGGTGTCATCCCTCCAACCTGCAAAGTACCTATACAAAGGATAGTTTATATCAAGACGCACAAAACGGGATCTACGACATTGGTATCTATACTAGAGCGGTATGGCTACAAGCGGAATATGAGCTTTGCCATGCGAAAAAGTGGACATATCATATGTGATATAAAACTTTTTGAAAAATCAATGATTTATCAAATTCCATTTAGAACGAGACGAGACTTTGACATGCTTGTCAATCATGCTCGATACAGCCGTCCAGAAATGGATAAAGTAGTGCCCCATGCCAAGTATATTTCGATTATCCGACACCCGGTCACACAACTTGAATCTGTATTTGGTTACTTTGAAGTGGGTTATCATCTCGGGATACCCGGATCGAACCCCTTCAGAACATTCATGTCAAATCCAAGAATGTACTACGAACGAAAGGCCAGCGCGTGGCAGAAGATTCGAAATGGCCAATTGTTCGACCTGGGTCTCGATCACAAGTACGACGAAAATAAAGGTAAAATCCAAGAAAAAATCGACCAACTTTCCAAAGAAATTGATTTTATGCTAATCAATGAATATTTTGATGAGTCTCTGATTATTTTACGTAAACTCTTTTGCTGGGACTTTGAGGATATTTTGTACTTATCGCATGGGATCCGAAGTAAAACTCATCGGTATAGAGTGTCAGAGGACCTGGCCGACGATGTATTGGAATGGAACGCAGGAGACGCCATGCTGTATAAACATTTCAACCAAACATTCTGGGAAAAGGTTAACGATTACGGACCAGACTTTGAGAAAGATCTGCAATATTTCCATAGCTTGGAACAGAAAGCATTTAATGAATGCATCAATGAAGGCGAAAAGAACCGCAAAGATAGAAGAGTTGAAAAATTTATACTGAAAACAGACTCATCGAACTTCTGTAAAGATATGCTTCGGGACGATGTGGCCTATGCATCGCTGATTATGAAGGGTATGGTGAACAGAGCTGTCCACGAAGCTAAGAAGAGTAAGAAGTGGTCAGACCGCAGCGTGCGCCAATTCCCACGTAGTTATGACAATCATCGTACTTACGACAATCGTCGTACTTATGACAATCGTCGGAAAATACGTCCAGACAAGGTCGCTCTTGCGATCCCAGCACGTAGGATAATAAAATCTAACGGAGCCTCCGAATTTGACGTATCTGTAAAGTGAGAGGATGAGAAAGCAAGAGATGGGAAGGATCACATAATCACAGCAAATTAAAATTGGGATGAGAAAAAAATGTGCCACGTTATATACATGTAATTCGAAGCAATAGACTATTTGCATCAGAAATACAAGCTGTAATCATACTCATCCCTAGCATGTTCACGTTTATGAAACCATTGATGTTGTGCTTTATCTCGTGCCTTAATTGGGCTTCGATTTTCCTGACACTTACACTTATTTTGTATACATTGTATACATCCGTTTTTTGTTGCAATTCATGCCCTCCAACTTAAATAGGGCCTAAGCATATTCATACAAATGTTTACACGGTTGCTATTTCAAGGGGTTTTTGTTTATAATAGTATAAATTTTATCGATGATTTGTGGTAAATAAAGTAATCAAAATGATTATAAGTGTGTGAAGAAGAATAAGACGAAAGGGAAAAGAAGGAAAAGGATTAAGACGCATTCTATTCTTAAAGTGTTCATTTGTTCCCCGTTCGATGTTCACTTCATCACAACTTTCTTTGATCTTTTTTTGTCGAATATGGGATTAATTAGGGCACTAGTAAGAATTACCCACACCAGGTACCTTTGGAACAGCCTAACGCGCCCGAGGCGATAGCCGATGGTGTTTGGACTGTTTCGAAGGTACCGAGTGTAAGTAATTTTACTTATGCCCGAACAAAATGGTGTTATTTCTTTTGTAAAATGATGTTTTATTTGTTTTATAAAATGATGTATTTTAACATGATTTTACTAATAACCGTTTATAATTATTTACTAATGACCGGTCATAAGTATTTTCTAATGAACGGTCAATAGTGAAATTACGTGTTAGGCAAAATAAATGCCTGGTCACATGTACGCTTTCATATAAAAGGAAATAACACATAGAAAAGCAACGGCAACCCCCGTGGGTACACACTCAGAAATATATCTTGCACAAAATGCGTAATAAAAGAGATGATCACACAGTGCAAGCAACCTTTACACTTGCTACTGGCCGCCCGCACAATTTTCAAGCTGTGATCTTCCTACCTTTACATCATGTTCATAATAAACAATGCATGAAAAATCGATTAAAAGCTAATAAACTTTTCTACCGGGACCGTCAGAACGGCACGTTAGTTGGGGCCCAACAAAATTATGAAAAAAAGAATCCTGTTTTTGCTCACTTCGACACAGTCCCAACACAACTAAAACGAAAGATGCCAAGAGGGAGGGGGAGGGGGTAGTGAGCACTAATTTTTAGTTGCCCCCGATTTTTTTAAAAATCGCACCCCCCTCCACCCCCCCCCTTTTAAGCACCAGGGGAGGGGGAGGGTCGTCTTTCCTTTTTTTTAAACAATGAGCCCCCCCCCCAGGATCCCACACGCACAGCGGTGTCTCCACTCATCGCGCGATCCCCCAAAAAGTTATCAGGGTACAGAATGAGAGGAGTGGTAAGGCCCCCCCCCCCCCCGAAAAAAAAAATCTTTTGGTTATCCTCGACTGCCACTCTTCATTTTCGGGCCGCTCGTATTTTTATTTATTTATTTATTTATTTATTTATTTATTTTTTTTTTATTATTTTTTTTTTAAATTTATTTATTTATTTATTTATTATTATTATTATTATTATTATTATTTTTTTTTTTGGGGGGGGGGGGGGGAGCAGTCTTAAATGCCAAACATACCATTGTATCAATTGCAAGGTTAAAAATGCGTCCCGTTGCTAGTTTGGTCTTTTCAGTACGCAATACTCTACGGTCACAAAGGTTCGTACGAACGATAATTTCGTACGAATCCCCCATTTTTTCCAAGTCTTCCCGAATTTCCATTGTCTGAAAATTGTTCGTACGGCGTTCGTAGCAGTTCGTAATGGCATTTGTGACCGAGGCTTTAAACTTGTCATTTTTATTTTTCTATGTCAATATGCCATTCATTCAAATCAGGTTCTGAGTATTCTTAAACTCATTTTAAATTCCATCTGTACTAGTTTTCAGGAGGGATTAGACCACCCTGCAAGGTCACTGGAGAGGTGGTTATGTCATCAAATCAGCTCTCAGTTAACATAAGATAAAGAGGATCATGGGGGACCAATGGTCACCGATTAGGCATTATTTGCTATATAGAGGGCGCAAGTAGCTATAAGTAGTACAATAGAGATTGAAAAGGTGCTGTATTTCAAAGCCAAATATAATTTCTGTGTTGGTCTTGATATTCATTATACATTAAACTAGTCTTTTAACTTATTAAAGTGTTTTATAGACTTTGTGTAAATGCTTGACATCCCAATGATTTTTTTTTATAGAAAAAAATCCTCCAAAATGGGGACGAAAAAAAAAATCAAAAAAAGACACAAAAAATGAAGTTTAAAAAAAAAAAATGATTTTTTTGTTTTTGTTGGCCATGGTCTAACTGTACTGTCAACGTTGATGATGTGTGATTGGGCGCGCGACATGGACACGGTCCAGGAGGCTGGCCTATGTATTGGTGTGACAGTGTGTATTATGGTTAACTAGAATCATGTGCTTCCGACTCTTTGCCCCCTTCTCTCTCTGTATATATATATATATATATATTATAACCCACATACTCACAGACACACACACTCTAAACTCTAAAAAGATTCGGGTAAAAAATTAATCCAACATTGGGTTAATTCTTACCTAATAAACGAGCATGTTCTTCTTTTTTAAAACCAATTATATTTATCTGTTTAGAAAGTAAACACAATTTTATGGTGGCCCTGAAGGGACATCGCGAATAGATTAAATCGTGAAAAATATGCGATAAAATTCACGATATCGTCAATTTTATCGCATATTTTTCACGAAGAAATTCACGAAATTGACGATATCGTGAAATTTATCGTGAACTTTTCACGATGAAATTGACGATATCGTGAATTTTATCGTGAAAATTTCACGATATAAAGTTCACGATATCGTCAATTTTATCGTGTACTCTATCGTGTACTCTATCGTGTACTCTATCGTGTACTCTATCGTGTACTCTATCGTGTACTCTATCGTGTACTCTCCTGACGGGCGCTTCGTAAACAAAACCAGCCCTAGCTGGGGGAGACAGAGAGAAGGAAAAAAGGGAAAGGGAAAGGGAAAGAGAAGATAAAAGGAAAGAAAGAATAATAAGAAGAAAAGAGGGAAACGGGGGGGGGCGAAGGGCTCTTGCCTCCTCCTCACTCCCCCCCCCCCCCGCCAAAAAATAAATAAGGAGAGAGAGAGAAGGGAAAGGGAAAGGGAAAGAAAATATAAAAGGAAAGAAAGAAGAGGAAGAAGGAAAGAGGGAAACGGGGGAAGGGCGAAAGGCTCTTACCTCCCCCCCCCCCCCGCCAAAAAAATAAATAAGAGAGAGAGAGAGAGAGAGAGAGAGAAGGGAAAGGGAAAGAAAGAAGAGGAATAAGAGGGAAACAGGGGAAGGGCGAAGGGCTCTTGCCTCCTCCCCCCCCGCCAAAAATAAATAAGAGAGAGAAGGGAAAGGGAAAGAAAATATAAAAGGAAAAAAAGAAGAGGAATCAGAAGGAAAGAGGGAAACGGGAGAAGGGCGAAGGGCTCTTGCCTCCTCCCTCCCACCCCCCGCCAAAAAAATAAATAAGAGATAGAGAGAGAAGGGAAAGGGAAAGGGAAAGAGAAGATAAAAGGAAAGCAAGAAGAGGAAGAAGAAGAAGAAAAGAGGGAAACGGGGGCGAAGGGCTCTTGCATCCCCCCGCCCCAAAAATAAATAAGAGAGAGAGAGAGAGAGAGAGAAGGGAAAGGGAAAGAGAATAAAAAAGGAAAGGAAGAAGAATAAGAAGAAAAGAGGGGCTCTTGCCTCCTCCCCCCCTCCCGCGCCAACAAATAAATAGGAGAGAGAGAGAGAGATAGAGAGAAGGGAAAGGGAAAGGGAAAGAAAATATAAAAGGAAAGAAAGAAGAAGAAGACGGAAAGAGGGAAACGGGGGAAGGGCGAAAGGCTCTTACCTCCCCCTCCCCCCTCCCGCCATAAAGGGAAAGAGAAGGGAGAGGGAAAGAAAATATAAAAGGAAAGAAAGAAGAGGAAAAAGAATAAGAAAAGAGGGAAACAGGGGCGAAGGGCTCTTGCCTCTTTTCTTTTCTTTCTTTTCCTTTCTTTCCTATTCTCCCTCTTTTTCGTTTTTCTCTTTCTTTCTTCTCTTTCCCTTTCCTTCTCTCTCTCTCTCTTATTTATTTTTTTGGCGGGGGGCGGGGGGACGAGGCAAAAGCCCTTTGCCCCCGTTTCCCTCTTTTCTTCTTCTTCCTCTTCTTTCTTTCCTTTTATCTTCTCTTTCCCTTTCCCTTTCCCTTCTCTCTCTCTCTCTCTGATTTATTTTTTGGCGGGGGGGGGGGGGGGGGGGGGGGGGCAAGAGTCCTTCGCCCTTCCCCCGTTTTCCTCTTTTCTTCTTCTTCCTCTTCTTTCTTTCCTTTTATCTTCTCTTTCCCTTTCCCTTTCCCTTCTCTCTCTCTCTCTGATTTATTTTTTGGCGGGGAGGGGGGGGGGGGGGGGGGGTGAGGAGGAGGCAAGAGCCCTTCCCCCCCCCCCCCCGTTTCCCTCTTTTCTTCTTATTATTCTTTCTTTCCTTTTTCCTCCCCCAGCTAGGGCTGGTTTTGTTTACGAAGCGCCCGTCAGGAGAGTACACGATAGAGTACACGATAGAGTACACGATAAAATTGACGATATCGTGAACTTTATATCGTGAACTTTTCACGATAAAATTCACGATATCGTCAATTTCATCGTGAAAAGTTCACGATAAAGTTCACGATATCGTCAATTTCGTGAATTTCTTCGTGAAAAATATGCGATAAAATTGACGATATCGTGAATTTTATCGCATATTTTTCACGATTTAGTCTATTCGCGATGTCCCTTCAGGGCCACCATACAATTTTATATCAGACAGACGGACAAAAAAAGGACGTTTTATCCGGTTTGGCCAACTTTTCAAAGTGGCAAATTTTTATCAAATTTGGCGAACTGACCAATGTACCGGTAATATAATTTAACCGCTTTGGCCAACTGCCCATTTTATCCGCTCTGACGAAAAGTTGAAGAAAACGGTCAGTATATCCAATTTTAACCAATAAACAAAATTCATGATGTCATGAAAACCGGTACATTTTATCCGCTTTCGCCAAGTCAAGTGGTACAATGCCAACCCCTTCTACATTGTAAATGGAATCCATTAATATATGTAATTGTTTTTTTTTAAAAATCTTTTGTACACATATTTATTATTGAATATTGAATATTGAATAATCAAATAAATAAATAAATGTTATCAGCAGAATGTTAATTCAGTTGGTTTCTTTTCTTCAACTTTGGTTGTGATCATCTTTTTATGAAAATGACAGATTGATTTAGAAGTGAGAATCTGTATCGCAGCTTAAAGAGAGAGAGAGAGAAAGCATAAGAGAGAGTCGGCATGTAAAATGGCAATTTAGTAAATGCATGCGCACAGTTTTCTCGAATAATTCGCGTTAGATGCTAAATAAAATCGAAGAGCCAGAGTTTTTGTTGACCTGCACCACTAAAGATCATAGGCACCGGAAGTGGGGGGGGGGGGGGGGGGGGGGGGGACAAAACGCATTTTTGCCCCCCCCCAAAAAAAAAAACGCCCCCCCCCCCCCCCCCCCCCCCCCCCCCCCCAAAAAAGTAAAGGAGTAAGGAAGGTTTGTATTTTTAACCCCAAAGAACTTAACAATAATACAAACCTGAATTAAATCACATATAAAATTCTATTAAAAAAAAAACCAAAGTTAACAGGAATTAAATTTCCTAAACATTGCGCATGCCACCTATATTTATCAATGGAGGTTTTCATAATACATATTTTTTTGTTTTAAATGATATTTTATTTCCTTCCTCATAATTTCAAATTATGCAATATAAAACAAGATTTTTAATACAAGACACTTCATGAGTTACATTAATCAATGAACATAGAAAAAAAAGAAGAAAAAAAATAAATTCTTGCATGTAACAGTGTATAATCAAAATAACAGTAGAGGAAGGTTTAAAGTGTAGATTTTTTTTGTTTTAAATGATATTTTATTTCCTTCCTCATAATTTCACATATCAAGAAATTCACATAACAAGAAATTATCAAGATAAGCAATATAAAACAAGATCTTTGATACAAGACATTTCATAAGTTACATCAATCAATGAACATAGAGGAAAAAAAAAGGAAAAAAAAAAGTCTTGCATGTAACAGTGTTTAATCAAAATAACAGTAGAGGAAGGTTTAAAGTTACATATTACCATCCTATCACAACACATATCACAACACATATCACAACACATTTTATAGCTCCGTTTAGTCTCATTTCACAACGCCCCCTATCGTCAGAGTCAGCAGCCATACATGTTAGCCTATGGACGTTCTTTAAAAAAATCGTTAAAAATTCATTTTTTGTTTAAACGAAAATCACATCCATCCCGACGTACGTTATCACTAGCTCTTTCATTGGAGCCCTCATGTCTTATTGACTTTTGAAATTACAGCCTTTTAGTACGTAACGTATAGTGAATGGGAATGGGCGATGATCCGTCCAGGAGGTAGAGGTCAGTGTTTTGTGCTGGCAATGTTCACGCGAGCGAAAATGAGACAATCGGAGCAATATGGCGATACGCGCATGTGCATGCGCCCCCCCCCCCCCAATTTTTTTTCTCCAAGATCGGTTGAATTTTTTGAGACCCCTCCCCAGGACGTCGATCAATTACATAAATGTGCCCCCCCCCCCAAAAAAAAAAACAACAACATCAAACTCTTGCTACGGCTCTGCTGATGGGGGGGGGGGGGGTCATTCCATTCATGCGTTTGTTGGAAAATTAGAAATTTCCAAATTTACAGTCGGGCGAAAAAAATATGCTTATTTAGAAGCCTTTATGTTATGGTCTGCACAGCGGTTGGGGTCTGGGGCTCGAGCCCCCCTCTCATTTTTTGAAAAAAGTATATTACAAAGAAAAAGAAGAAATAGAAAGAGAAAAAAAAAAGTGACCTGCTAATGTCACAAATGTGGTATCAAAATATGCTCATCTGACCGTAATTAAATGCCTAAAACCCCGGAGCTTCCGGGGGCTCTGCCCCTGAACCCCGCCAAGGGCCCTAAGGCGGTCCCCTGGATGCTCATCTGACCGTTATTAAATATCTTAAACCCCTGAGCTTCCAGGGGCTCTGCTCCCTGGACTCTCCGCCAATAAGGGACCTGCCAGTGTCACAAATAAGGTATCTAAATATGCTTATCTTACCGTAATTTAATGCCTAAAAATCCTGAGCTTCCGGGGGCTCTGCCCCCTGGACCCAACCAAGGGCACTAAGACGGGCCCCTGGATGCTCATCTGACCGTAATTGAATACCAAAACCCCTGAGCTTCCGGGGGCTCTGCCCCCTGGATCCCACTAAGGGCCCTAAGGCGGGCCCCATGGATGCTCATCTGACCGTAATTAAATACCTAAAACCCCTGAGCTTCCGGGGGCTCTGCCTCCTGGACGCCACCAAGGGCCCTAAGGTGGCCCCTGGATGCTCATCTGACCGTAGTTAAATATTAAAACCTCTGAGCTTCTGGGGGATCTCCCCCCCCCCCCTCCCTGGAACACGTAAATGGCCTTAAAGAGGGCCTCTGGATTCTCATCTAACCGTAATTAAATACCTAAAACCCCTGAGCTTCCGGGGGCTCAGCCCGTTGACCCCCTGCCGAGGCTCATGCCCTGGACCCCACGCCAATTTACGCTCTACCTGATCGTTAATACTCCACTTTGAAAAACGTTCCACGGTGCCTGCATATAACGTGTAAGAGTGGTGGTTTATGCAGATTTCTCTTCTGCCCCCCCCCTTCCAAACGTTTTTGCTCAATACGTCACTGCCCCTGGAAGGTGAGCCCCTGGAATGTTTGCCCCCCCCCCCTCCAATCCCAAACTGCTTCCGGCACGCCTGCTAAAGATTAAAGAAAACAATTTACCAATAAGGTGAGGGTCTTTTTCTACAAACGAAATTTGTGACAGCCAAAAGTCTAAATTGAAATTAAAAAATATCGCGAATATTAGTCTTTATTTGCATTGATATCGGCCATTCTTTGAATTTGGTGATTTTGGGTGAATTTACATTTAGAGATTTGTCACATGCCGTTTGGTGATACATTGTTCTGCAGGGACCTGGCAACATTTGATACGGAAGCGGAAACGTGAACCACGAAAGAAAAATAACGGGGTCTGAATGTTAAACAACGAGCAGACCAGAAATCGAATCGGCTGTGTCAGGTAGCCTCATGTTACGTAACGGTTGCTTTCACTGTCCCTGCGACGAGGTCGAACAAAAGCGAAACCAGATTATGATAGTCTAGTAAATGCATACTCGTATTTAGATTCATAATGCTTTTTCTGTCTTTGCTGATGAGTAATGAAACATTAATCTTGTAGCTAAAAAACCTCTCATTTCATTCTACTTAAAGGTCAAATCCATATTAAAGCAATTGTAAGCGTTATTCTGGGACTTTTGACTAAGGAGTAATGGACATGGGGCCTTGAGATGAGTAAATCTAAAGATCTCATTGAAGCGTGTAAATCTCTATTGTACCATAGTCTGCCTTGTGGAAATATATGCTGGTCGATCTTCCTCAACATGCGCAAAAGAGTAAGTCATGTTATAATCACTTCTACTTCAAATATGATCCACTTTCGTAAAACCAGTACTACTGTGAAATACCATATGAACATCTTCAATATTTTCTAAACGGGAAGCTTCAACCTATTTCGTGAGTTAATGGTTAACGGCAACCCTGAAAGTGAAACAGCGAGAGTGCTACACTACTACGTTCGACCAGACCTTGCGAATGTCGTAACACGTACTGATATACGGCCTGGGCCCTATAGTGTATGTAACCAATGGTCATCATTGTTTGACCTCCAGATTCAGCTTGTCTACATATAAAATGCTGGTGGTAAGTTTACATTTTACGTATACTTGTACTTACAGTTCTCTCCTTTTCGTGAGAAATCATTATTGAATCTTTACCATTAGTAATTCCAGATGAACACTGCAAAATGTCAATGTCTACCACGGTCTATATCGAACTTTATAATAGAACTTTGGAAAACGCAGCCCGGTGATTTCAGGCCTATATCATGATCATGTACATGTATACAGTATACTTATTTTTGCTGTCTGTCAATATGATGCATATAGAGATTGGGCCTATGTAAGAGCAGGGAGATGAGAGAGAAAGAAGCTTAAGGAAAAATTTTTGTTAAATATTATTGTATAACCAAGGAGGTAAGACCTCCCAGATACAGATACGAGACTCCTACCACATACTGAGCCATATAGCACCTCCTTGTATTTCTAATACATTTTAGATTTTTACATTTATATTTCGATAACAAAAAAGCCGAGAAAATGTCAACAATTTCCTGGCTCTCTCAACCAAGTTCGGAGGTTAAGTTAAGTTTGGTACATCTCTCTGACAAGTCTCATCTGCACATTATTTTTCTCCTCACGATTCTCGACCATCAACATCGCTTTTCTCGCATCTCTGTACGATCCAACATATTCGTACAGTATGATAAAAAAATCAATACTTTATCTTAATGAACGACTTTTTATTTTGTTGTTTGTTCGCCTATATATACTCCTGTCATTAATTTAATGGTAACAGGGCTGTACCAGACAATAGTCAGCACAATCATTTCTACTGTTTCTACATCCTTGATTACTAAAGATGGCGCTGCAAGAAGACGCCTAACCTGGCAAGTAGGCCAATTTATTAGGAATATTGCATTTTATATGAATGATTTCATCTCAGAACTCCATGTGTATCCTACGTTATTAATGACAAGGACTCCTTTTGTGTAAGTAACTTGCAGAACTTGAAATTATAAACTGAGCGAAATGAATTTGTTATCCCATCTCTCTCTGTATGTTCTTGCCGTCAAGCTGTACTACGAGGTAGCCCAGTCTGTCAATGGGCTAGCTTCGGGTGTTTTTATAGCAATGAATGCTTCTCCATTTACTCAGCCGCCCGATGATTTAGGCCGTAAAGGGTTAACCAGGATGTAGAGTAACCAGAAAATCTAGTAGGCCTATTCGGTTGATGAAATCATTACGTAATCCTCAATACAAAATGCAGGCTGTCTATGGAACCTTACTCGAACATCCGTGTTAATCGTTATTTGACGAAAGACTTACGATTATTGATTACACTCAAATTTAACTAGTTATTACAATGAAATGAATCTCAAAAGAAATGGATAGTAGAAATGATATGCAGGATCAGGATGTTTGTTTTTGAATTCCTATTGAAACGCTTTATTATTATCTTTCCACTTAATGTCATCCTTATTTCCTCCTATTCTGGGTCTTTTCTATTGACTAGTCCAATACGTGGACTCCTGTACTTGTTTAGCACGACTGCTATGATCGTTGATCATACTTAATTTCACAATTATTGTACTATGTTTGAATTTAACCCCTGGAGTAGTGTCATAACTATAATACTATAAGACTTGATGTTTCTTGTCAAATGTATAGTTCAATTATTGTTGATACATGTTTTATACGGTTTGTACAATTCATGAGGATCGGTATATTTTAAAACTAATTAATAGAAGGCTCATTACACATGTTTTTCACCTCATCTTTCTTGATATACTCCTCTTACTTTAACCCTTCCTTTCTTTTTCTTTCATTCTTTCTTCACATTTTGTTGATTCTTGCTCCTTGCTCCTATTCCTCATTCATCCCTTCTTTCTTTCCATACTCATCGAATTTTAGATATAGAGTTTTAATATGATATTTTTATATAAATAATGTCATAGTTCCAAGACTATTGTATTCCAATGGCAATTCAGTTGTAAGACTGTGACGATGGAATTTGTTTAATAAACCCCCCTTCTATATATACACAGGCGTACAGTCATATACATAGGCGTGTTACAAGAGTAGAGGGTGGAATCTTTTTTAAACATCAAATCTCCCATTGAGTTTCTAAAAGTGTTATGTCTAAATTCAAGCGGCAGATCACCTATAATTCGCCTCCGTGACGAATACAATGTCTAGTACTCTAGTACCAAATAATAGTCAGTGCAATCATTTCTAATATTTCTGCATCCTTTATTACTAATTGAGCTTTTACTTAGGCGTGTTAAAAGAGTGGAGGCTGGAAGGCCAAATCTCCCATTACGTTTTTTACATAATTACATGACTTGTGTTATGTCTCGATCAAAGGGGCAGATCACCCAAATCGTCTCCGTAACGAATTCAATGTCTAGTCATTATTACTATAATTATTATAAATCACATTATTATTATTATTGTTATTATTATTATTAATATTATTATTATTATTATTATTATTATTATTATTATTATTATTATTATTATTATTATTATTATTATTATTATTATTATTATTATTATTATTATTATTATTATTATTATTATTATTATTATTATTATTATTATTATTATTATTATTATTATTATTATTATTATTATTATTATTATTATTATTATTTATTATTATTATTATTATTATTATTATTATTATTATTATTATTATTATTATTATTATTATTGTTGTTATTATCATCATTATCAAATACTTTCCTATAATGCGCACCATGCTTTGAGAATGGAACTTTTTGAGTAGTATGAGTTTAGGAGCAATACAACGCTGGAACTCCTGGAAGGGAACGCACCTTTTCTGAAAAATCCTAAACTCTAACAGATATTTTGAGTTGGCTGAGCCAGCACGGATTGGAATATTTTCTAAACCACTAAAGAAACAGAGTAACTGTTGTAATAGCTCTTTGATCGCAAAGGCAAACAAATACGTGTGTATTATCCTGTAGAGTGTAAAATATGTATCTGTATTTGAAATGTTTATTAATCATAATGAACAGAAATGGATTCCTACTAGTCTTCTGATAGTATAGATGATTGGTTATGTTATACATGTAGTGTTATCATGGTGATATTATAGGCCTTTATGTGCTCAGCATTTAATGGTCAGAGTCCATTACATTTAGAAATATGACTAATTCGGATTTTAAATAATTATTTGCAAATTTCGCATTTTGTTGCAAAAGGTTACATGATAGCTTTCACTCCTACTTTGATGTTGCTTGCTGTGAGATGAAATTAAAATGCACGTGATACCCTTTAAAAAGAGAGAATCCACTGTGATGAAAGTGCAATATTTTTCGAAACCAAATAGTGCTATGCGGGTAGAAGAAGATTAGCAAAGAGGAACGATTGCCAAACAAATGTTTGTTCTGTATGCTTATTGGTTCATATGGCTGTATAATATTTTTGATTAACGTTTAATGTCTTTCTGTGAAGAAACATTGGAAATTTAGATACCGAAAATACACCCATAATAAGTACAACGTAGCGATAGAGGGAGTTTGGTTAATGCTCACCAGTGTACTCTGATTATCGACATTATGTCCGGGGGATTCATCCTATTTCATATTTAGGCAAACAGTGCAAATCTAAATATATTTAACGGTAGTATTGGGTTTGCGATCATTTCTACTGAATCCACTATCGTACACAAATAATATGATTCAATTTTTTTTTACTTACAGCTACCCCCCCCCCCGAAAAGAATAAAATAAAGACATAAAATACTCGTTTCTCAGCATTGGTAACAATGGAAACGAGATGGATAGTCTACATTCAGCCCTCATTTGATACCCCAAACAAAAATGGCCATTCCTCCTCTATTTCTTCTTCTTCTTTCTTCCTTCTTCTTCTTTCTTCTTCTTTCTTCCTTCCTTCCTTCCTTCTTTTTAATTATATTATACGTTTGCTTCGGGACCTAAGTGAATAATGTAAAAGTAATTATAAAGCTTAGAGTCCCGCCATCACGTTAACACGAGGATGTACATGTACGTGCGTGTGATTGGTATTTTTATTTTTTACCATAAAACAAATATACAACCTGTAGATGTACATCATCGTTGGTTTACAACATTTTAGTTCAAGTTAAAATTTTATTTACACATCTGATTTTAGGAAACACAAGTACAATTTATATGCATATATATATATATATATATATACATTAAAAAACGTTAAAATGAAACATCTTCAATTTAAATCATAATTTGGTGAGAAAAAAAAACAAAGGCCAATGGCCTATCAAGGCTATTCCCAGAGATAATACAATTTACATAAAACGTTTCTTAAATGTACTAAAAATGAGATAGAAATACAGAGATTAAAAATAACACAAAGCATCAATATACCGAATTAAACCAGACAAATCCATTACAACAACAATAAAAGAAAAGGAAAGGCATTTTATGTAGAAAATAATCCTAGTTATACACATTCATATACGAGATATTTCTTGAGCTTTCTTTTGAAAATTGATACTGTTGGGCATATTTGAAGTTCTTTGGGCAATTTGTTCCATAATTTTGGTCCGGCATAAATAACTGTCGTTCTTGAGAAATCATAAGTAAACATTGGCAGATGGAAAAGATTTGATTGACAAGTTTCATAATTAGTCACATTTCTATTACAAATAATCATCTAGAATCTTTGGAAGTATACTTGTAGAGTAAGAACAAATAAAGATACCAATCTGTTGCTTATGTATCGGTCACTCGAAATTTCAGAACAGAAGGGACAAAGGAGAGAAAACAAGTTTTATTCTCGCTTTCAGGAGATTCATTGAATCACCCTCTGTCTCTCTCTCATTGAAGTTATGTTGTTTTAAGAACAATAGCTCCTTTCCTTACCGGCCCTAGGTATTTCATAACATGTGAATGAAATAATTTGTAACATGGCACTTGAAGATTTATGCATTAAATTTGATTACATTACGATAATGGCCTATATAATTATGTCGGGCAGGCACAGTGCAGTGCATGCCGACTTCGGTGGTAGCGGTCAAGAGAGTCATGATAATGATAATGGACCACCATTTGAACTCTTTTAGCGAGAAAAACAAACGGCTTGAGCGGTTAGGTATCACTGTGCCTACCAACACTAGAGAATTTTTAAAAAATGAACAGAAAGTGTACCATCTCCATTTTACGAAATACCGGACCCGCCCCTGAAGAGCGCATGTTATCTTAATAATAACTGGATTAAAATCGACAGACTGGAGTTAATCTATTTTATTTTTTGAAGAGATAAGATTATTCTTTGCCATGAAGCATTGTTAACCCTATCTTGCAATTCAATTTAATTTCAGTGAACACGGGATTTTGTTTCCACGAGAAGGTCGACGTCTTCATTATTCTGATCTTCTCAACCTGTCTTCTTCAAAGTCATCAAGCAAACGAATCAACGATGAATCCCAACGGCCGGGTAAAGACGAGCAGGCCTGACGCTACACCTTCTGCCAACCAAACTTCACCGGGAAAACATGTCAAGTCGACTATCTTACCGCTGTGCTGTCTGGTGGTTGTGCTCTGTATCTATCTCCCGACGAGGACCAAATTCGCCACGCCCATAGTAGAACCAGTGCCTAGCCCCAGAATAACCAGGTATAACACATTTAAGATTTATTATATAATAATTATGTAAGGCCTATACAACTTAGTTATTCATACCATTACAAAGTTTTGTAATATCTCAAGTATATGAAAACTTCATTTGTCCCGATTTAGTAAAAATGTGACATCTAATTCGTCCAGTCCACCTTTCATTCTGGAGTAACGAAAAACACAAAAACCTCATATAATTATAGAAAGGCTATAAATATTTATGTTATTAACTTACTGTATATTTATGTGTGAGCCAATTCAATCAAGCCTGTTATTACACACGCTCGTTATTAACGCAATATTAGCACCGTTCATTTTTCATTTCCATTTTGTAAAACACTCTCTCAAGACCGCTACTTGCGCCCTCTATATAGCCAACAATGCCTAAGTGATGACCGCTGATCCCCATGGTCCCCTCTTTCTTCTGTTAAATTTAGAGCTAATTTGATGAGAAAACCACCTGCCAGTGACCAGTAGGGAGTTCTTATCCCTCTACCTGGCCAAACTAGCGCAGGCAGGCTTTAAAGGAAACCTAACCCCAATAAATAACTTTAGATGTTCTGAGAGATTTATTATATTCTTGCCCATTAATCTACAAGATCCTCCACCAAAGTGTATGAGAGAGGCATAACAAGAGAATAATGAACAGTTTCTATAAGCACGACATGGACATCGCCAATTTCCTGATAAGTGACGTACCATGTGAAGTCGTTTATCATTAATGTATTAAAAATGGATGCTTCCTTCTCAGATGTGTGTGATGATGGTTTTTCATTCACCTGCTATTATCCTTTGTACTATTATTGCCAGAACGCAAATTACATAAATAAGTCAGTGCTCTTCTGGGGTGAAGGTTTGGCATAAATAATTGGATGAACAATTCTGATAACCATTTTAACTTTCCACCTCTCCCCAGATTTCACCCGTTGATCGAGGGATCTGGTCTAAAGACAGACTCATCAAAAAACGAAAGCAGTTTGACGTTTTCCACTGCAGATGCATCACCAAGCCTTACAAGAAGTTTGTCCAGAACATCGATCGTCACCCAAGCTAGTCCAGATCTCACTACATCCAGTCCTCCGGACCCACAACACAGTTGTAATCCCGTGGAAAGGATAGTCTACGTCAAAACGCACAAGACGGGCTCCACAACCACTGCATCCATATTGGAGCGATTTGGATACCTGCGTAATTTGAGTTTCGCCATGGGTAAAGGAGGTCATATCATATCAAACGAGCAATTGTTCAAACGATCAATGCTATACCAAATCCCGAACAGAACTCGGCAAGATTTCGACATGCTTGTAAACCATGTTCGATATAACAGGAATGAAATGGATGTTGCCGTGCCAGGGGCCAAGTATGTCACCATTATAAGAGATCCCGTGACCCAGCTTGAGTCGGCCTTCGGGTATTTTGAGATGGGCAATCACCTTAAAATTGTTTCGAAAAACCCGTTTGAGACTTTCATGTCTCAGCCACAGAAGTACTACGCAATGAAAACGTACTTCTGGACAAGGAGTAGAAATGGACAGATTTATGATTTGGGTTTCGACCACGAAAACGATGAAAATGTAGCAAAAATTCAGGAAAAAATCGACAAGCTCTCCAAAGAGATAGATCTGGTTATGATCACTGAATATTTCGAAGAGTCGCTCATTCTTTTACGAAAGCTTATGTGTTGGGATTATTCAGACATTCTCTACATCTCAAATGGGATCCGTAGTAAAAGTCACAGATTCGCTGTCAACCAAGACATGGCGAATAAAATCAGAGCATGGAGCGCGGCTGATGTCATGCTCTACGAACACTTCAATCGAACATTTTGGAAAAAGGTGGATGAATACGGACCAAGCTTCCAAGAAGATTTGGCGCATTTTAGAGAAATCGAAACAAATGCTATGAATATGTGTATTAATTTGAAGAAGAATAACACCGGGGATAAGAGAGAAGATAAACTCACGTTGAAGAATAATTCTGCGTTCTGTCAAGACCTTATTCGCGCTGACGTACCTTATACGTCTTTGATTCGAAAGGGTATGGTGCGTCGTGCTGCAGAGGAAGCAGCGAAGAGATCAACACCTTGATATAATATTCACCTCTTTGATACTTTATTTATTATAGGTGCCTTCTGTTATTTATCATCAACTCGTGGGTAGGCTGAGAATGAGAGAATGTCATAACAATGATTGGTGTATCATTATGCGGACATGACTACAATGTGTCAATGAAGATAATGTAACGCCGCATCTCAGCCGTGTGCAATCCAGTCACAAACAGTGTATACCTACATGTACAAACAAATTAGATCTGTTGGTGAGTGAAAATACCACGAGTCCAATTTAGGATTAGACGCCATTTATGATACAAGGATTTATTATGCTGAATATTTTCATCTAGGTTTCAACTCGTTAAGGGGCATGTGATAGACATCAACCCTACTTCTGGCAGAAACTCTTTATAATACATGTAAATACAGGTAATGCTGAACATTCTCCGCAAGGTTTCAACCCGTTACTTTTTTTCGCTACATGAGCTTAAATGTTTTGGTCACTGTCATGGCCCTAATGACAGCCTCCACCGTACTGTGCCATTCAGTCGTCCATTTCTTTTTATCATGGTTTTGTCCAACCCACCTCCCCCCATAGTGTGAGCCTCTCCGGCTCCCGATCTGATATGCCTCTTGCATGTGCATGGGCGTATTTCACTTGCGTTAGTACACCCCCCCCCCCCCCGCCACTCAGTGTTATTAAGGGTAGGCATTATGCATGTTCCCTCCCTTTGAAAGCACACCCCTGAGACCCCTCCTATATCCAGTGTGTAAAGTCAATACGGGCCGGACTTTACTGGAGATTTTTTGGAACGAATGCGGTCCCTCGGACCTGGGGGGGGGGGGGGGGGGGGGTAGTAGGTGGTTCTGATATTTGCACGTGCTTTATATACCATCATCACGCTCATAATTTTGGCGCGTCAAAATATCGCATCAGTCGCTGACACAGTCCATTTTATGACTTGCAAATGACTTGAAGTACCTTGAAGTACCTTCAAACAAAGTACACTGAGACAATTACGATAATCAGTAAATCAAAGGTCAGAGCCTTCATAATATCCGGGGGGGGGGGGGAGGGGGTACTCAGATTGGGTTTGGACTGGTGTGCCGCTCAAGCCTCGAAACCCCTACCCATTATTAGGAGTCATTTGGGGCATTTTCTTCGAGAAAAAAAAAATCCAATTTTAATGGTATTTTTGTTAAAAGTGGGACCTATGTTTAGGGATTTTTGTGAAAAAGTTATCCATTAGAGCGGCACACCCCGTCTGTCCTAATATGTGAGTATCCCCCCCCCCCCGGGTATAATTTACCCTATGCATTTTGGAGAAATACGACATCGTGACCAATGCCGTACTCTTTTTTTTTTCAAGCGGAATTCGGGACATTTAGCCATATGAATGTCTCTTGACTCCACGAGTTCTCTCTTCATGTTTGTCCAGAACATAAATGGCGCCCGCTCCGTCAAGAAGTTCATTTACTTATCTCTCAACGACTACGGTAGTAGTAATGTTGTGCATGTCCTTTTTTCCCCGACGTGGGACATTTTATGGTTGTTGGCAGAGGCGGCGGACCCGGGGGGAGCAGGGGTCACAGTGTCCTCACTTTTTCAAGTGCCCCCTTTTAATTCTAATAGATGCACGTTCCGCGTTCTTATACCACCTCTGATAAAGTGCCTCCTTCAACAATGATAATTGCCCTTATTCAAATCTAACTGAGGTTTACTTTAACAAGTGCCCTTTTCCTTTGTAATAAGTGCCCCTTTACCACCTGATAAGTGTCCCCTTTTATGTTGGCACGTGCCCCCCCCCCTTTCTGTCTAATATGTGCCCTTTTTACTACTGATAATGCCAAATCCCCCTTTTTTATTTTAAATAAAAGCCCCTTGCCCTTCTCATAAATGCCTCTATTGAAATTTCATATGTGCCTTTTTCATTAGACAAGTGCACATTTTCATTCTCACAAGTACCCCTATTCATCTCAGATAAATGCCCCTTTTCAGGTACAAGAAGTTACCCTTACCACCTCTGATAAGTACCTTTCACCTCTTATAATAACCTATTTAAAATCTTAGTGGTGCCCTTTAACAAGTGCCTCTTTTCCTTTGTATGCCCCCTTTTCATCTCCGGTGAGTGCCCTAATTCAAATTTGAGAGGTGCTCCCTTTAACTTGTAATAAGTGCCCCTTTTCATTTGAAATAAATGCCAATTTTCGTTGCCATAAGTGCTTTGTAGGTGCTCCTTTTTTTTCTAGAGAGTGCCCTCTTTTGTTGGTGTCCCCTTCCCCACTTTGAAAGACGCTCCGCCGCCCCGGTTGCTGTTTTGGGGTGGTGGTAGTAGGGAGGGGGGGGGGGGGGGGAGGTGTTAGAGAATGATGTTGATCCCGTTATATAATATGTTTCAAGGTAGGGATAAATGATTGGTTGATGGGCATGCAGTGTACTCCCTTTCTGCATTTCGAAACTTTAGGATCTCAATAGTACCCATTAAACAAACTTTTTCTGTTAAGTAAGGTATTTGCCAGAAGAAAGCGTTTTGTATCATAATATTAACTCTAAAATACTCGGTACTTGAACTGCTCTGAAATGTTGTATGGTATTTATTCGCCTTTATTTATTCAATGTACCTCATATATTAATGCCGTTATATGAATAGGGGGTTCTGATCATTTATATTTCGATTTTTTTTGATGGAGTACAATAACAAGCATTTTCTCTTAATTCGAAATAGTATATTATAGGTTTGCGATCATGAATGTGGAGAAGGTGAAATGTTGTGTAATATCTGCTCTATATATCCGTTGTACTATCGTGTAATTTATGGAGGGACTTATTATACAATATTCCGACTAATGGAGAAAATCAGTTTCACGTGGAAATTTTGATTACGTTCACAAGGGTTAGTGTAAACAGTGAAGTACAATGTATTAGTTGCCTACGTCCTGCGTAGAAATTTATGGCAATGGCAAACAAATTCTGATGTTCAATGTAATGTGCTTTGTTTAATGTAATGTGCTTTGTTTAATGTAATGATATGATTTTGTACATGTACTGGGTGATATATTTTAATGAGGTCAAAACGAGTAATTTGAAAAATAACAATGATAATGACTAGGATAAATATAAATTTGATGTTGTTTATACACAAGCTAGACAAATCGGTATAAATATCTGTAAAGCGCTTAGAGGCATCGTCGACATAATATTACCAAGAACATTATCATTATTATTACTAATACCGCTCTTTCTGTAGACCCTACAATTATTATTACTACAGCAAGCATCGCCTGGTCCCCATTTTGCACTAGGTTCAAGAGGGAGAAATATTAGCGAAATAACTTGTCCAAGGATGTAAGGGCAGTAAGCACTGAGCAAGGATCAGATGCAGGACCTCACGAATGAAAGTTTTTTTTTTAATCATCGGTATACCACAGTCCTCCCTCTATTGTGTACAGGATAGTTCGATTGTCGATGGAAAACGGCGATCGGTTACATCAGATTGCACATTGTTAAAATGGAAAAGGGTAAAACTAATAATGCGGTTCCGATAAAATTGTAAACCTTTCTCTCCTTCTCCCCCTCCTATCCCCTCCCTCTTTTCCCTTTCGTATATCTTTTGTAACCGGGCAATAATCATGTTTTTTTTCACTGAGGTCAAAGCTATATGTCGACTTTTTCAATGAATTCTATTCGTATCTAGTCAAAGTGCACAACATATCTTAACAATAATAAATTATATCTTTTTCTCTCATACATTTTGATTTTGTTCATTTTTATATTTGTTTTAATTCATAAGTAGAGATTGTTTTCATGTAGCTGTGGTATATCAATCAGAAGAGAGTATATCCTTCCACGTTACTCGTACTGATTGATAAGCTTGGTATTCTTCACAGTCCTTATAACACAAGGCCTACGAAAAAAATATTTAGGTGCCAAAACATGGTCGGTCGGTCGGAAATCTTTTTTTTTTTAACTTTTTTTTTCTTCTCCCTCTTTGGGCTGATATTTCTCAGCTTTGAATGCTTTAATTTTTTTTTCTCTAAAAAAAGGTTAAAAAAAAAACTTTTTAAAAAAAGCCGACCGTAGATTCCAAGATTTTTGAGTCGGCCGCCAAGGGCAATACACCATCTTTTTTTAAAGGCCCAATTGCAGTTATTTTCTATAAATCAACTCAGGCAATTTCAATAGCCTGTCCCATGCATAGACATCATCTTTAGGTCTTCATACGTCATTGCCGTGTTCGCACATTTCAATAGGTCAGCACAAAGCTATTGACATTTCGTTCGGTTGATTTTTGGAAAGTAGTTTCTATAGGGTTTTATTAAAAGGTATGAGTGTGAGGGCATGTGGTTGCGTGTCTGTTCGCAAATGTGAGTGTGGGTGTATGAGTAGGAATGAAAGTGTTTGTGTTTGATTTCCACGTCATAGATTCGATTTTCCGTATTGCTCTAACCCCTCCCGTACTCCCCCGTCTTCCTGTCTCCCCCCTCTCTCTCTCTCTCTCTCTCTCTCTCTCTTTCTCTCTCTCTCTCTACCTCTCTCCCCTATATCTCTGTCCTCATCCTAAACCCCCTTTATCTCTTAAAGGTAAAGACCAGTATTGGCAACGCCCCAATTTCAAAAAATGAAATGGAAGCTCTCATTACCAATCATGTGAAAGAATATGTTTTGACTAATACATGATGATAAAAAATTTGCCGGGAAACCGCCTACTAATTCATATATTTGGTAAATTTATTTCTCTCATGGTCTGGTGAGAGAGATAGGGTAGTCCCATATACATCTTTCTGTGTATAGTGCTTGTAACTTTACGAAGAATGGGCCAAATTTCTTATCATTTTGATGATTCCAGAACCTTGCAGATGCTAGATGCTAGATGATCAACCTTTTCTGATCGATTCCACAACGTTTCTTTCACAATGCAATCGCATGACCATTACTGGTCTTTACCTTTAACCCCTCTTTCTCTAATATCTCCCTCCTTTTCACTCCCTTACTCTCATGAACCCCCTCTACTCTATTCCCTCTCTTTTTAATTACATCTTGTCTCCCCTCCCTCTCTCTGTCTCTCTCTGTCTCTCTCTCTCTCTTCTTTTTTCCTCTCTCTCTCTCTGTCTCTCTCTCTCTCTCTTACACAGGTCAATATTGGCTATGCAGATTATCCAGTACGAGGCCTTTCAAGATATCAACTTTGGGCAATTTTAAAACCATATTGCAATTGCTGTTCGGTTTGAGTAATGCGCTATTCTAATCTTGGCACGATTCAATAGAGTGACACACCAAACTACTGAACGTGCCTTAGGATGACTTTTCGTAAGTCTCTTATACCTGTTTAGATTTTACATCCCCCCGACGATTGTGTGTCAACTTCTTTTTTTTTTTAATGAGTGTATTCATTTTATTTACAGAAAGACAGTTTTCTGTACTACGGGATAAACAGATCGAGAATTAGCGTTGGGTATATCGGTGGTCTAGGATGATATAGTCCGCCTTTATAAAATGGACTATACTCTTCGTAACGTATGCTCAAAGCCTTATTGGTGTTAAATATGTGCTTAAAGATAAACTAGAGTTCTGGTAAATGTGGAAATTAATTTTTCACAGAATCCAACGAAACTAACATTGAATGTTCAAGATTACAAATAAATGACATGTGCCAAACAATTTTGTTGGAAAATATATAGAGGCTGTGTAATGAGCATAGAAAGAAAAGGAAATCCGGGTAAGTAGGCTCGACACCCATGTGCTTAACACAGATCACTATGTGCAAATGGGACTTGGGTGTTTTTATCGGAGATAATGTCCAGTAAGTTGTTGTGCGTTCGTTTTTATTTCACTGGCTCAAAAACCAATCTACTGCAGTATAAACAATCGAGAATAAATAATTTTCTCTTACCAGAGCTCAAAATTAGCTTCATTTAAGTAATTGAGTTAACGCCTTGCTAACTCCAAACTGACGATAATATCTCGTTTTATAAAAATGCTTTGCTCTTTGTTGTATTGTTAATGCACCTTCTCTTTATCACTTTCTCTTACTTGCCTCAAGCCGGTTGCCATCATTTTCAGATATACATCTTCTCTCAACATTCATATACCCCCTGCGTTTAACAAGGACTTCTTGTATTTCTTTTGGTCATACATGTATATCAAGCGTTTTCTGAATGCATCATAATATTAGTGTAACAGCTAATGCCTAAACCCCATGTATTTATACTAAGAATTGCCAATGACTACAACTGTTCATCTTCTTCTTTCAGACCATACATGATGTCAGCTGCATGCGATGCGTCATTTTGCTGAGTGACGTAGGACTGCGTCACCGACTTGTGCGTCTTGGTCTCGCCATCTTAGAATGATGTCTTCCCGGAATTGAATGAAAACGAATCAGAAATGAAAATCGCTTTGTATTACTAGTATATTGGGGTACTTGCCTTTACAGGCTTGATTACCACGTATAATGACGCAATCAAAATGACGCCTCTTGAGGAAGGGGCATTAGTTTCCGACGAACGCCAATCTTCACATATCTGTGAGATCATCGAATAAGATATAATCTTTAGCTTCATACGTTGAATTGCTGAACTTCTCTTCATCTTGTTTGCTCTTCGTCGAAGTACGATTAATAAACTTATATGTCAGATTAAAAGTGTATTGACACATTTCCTGTTTTTTATAATTCCTAGCGTAAACCCCCTTTTCACATGACTTTAATAACGGAGAAAGACACACAGGAAGTCTAGAATCAGGCAAGCTTTAGGCGAGCTAAGGAAAACAATAACTCTTAGTTCACTAACACGTCATCTACGTCGATACTTATTTTAAAACAAATATCCTGAACTCACTTAATTCAAGTGGGAACAAAATGTTGAAACCTGTTAACAGTTGTCTCGAAAGTTAGTAAAACAGATTGACGTAATTTCTATTTTGTTGTTGTTGTATACTTTAATGTCAAAGCACTTTGTTGATAGAGCAAACCAGAATGTGGTGGGTTTTCTTTCACATGGCCCCTTTATTTCCTTGCTTCATACTACTTCTATGACGTCACTTTTGCCATGCCTATATTCGTGCTCATTGATTACTATAGAGGTATACATTACACCCAAGTTCAGGTTCAGATTTTGTGCAATGAGGTATATAAGAGCCTTTCACATATGAATGCATATCTACCGAGTTTGTCAAAAATATCTGATGAATAACAGAAGATATGATTTTTTTTAGGGGGGTTGGGGTGGAGGGGGGGGGGGAGGGCTAACACCTTGTGCCCAAATACCAACTCCTAACTTCTATATTTTGCGAGCAAGATAACGTTTTATTACATTTAATCATAGTGTATCCAGTATTGATGGATTGTGCATCAAGTTCAGAAACTTTCAGATTGTAATGTTAGCATAAAGGATTACTAGAGCAGCGTTTTCCATTTTTGTTAGTGACGGCCCCCTTTTTTCAGGTATAAAAGCGGGGGGGGGGGGTCGAGGGTATTGTCCCTTCCCAAAGTATCTTCATCTTAAATCAATTTATGTCCTTGATAATGATACTGATACTCCATGGCATGGTTGAATTCACGCTTGATTGAAAATTACGACCTCAACTTAAATATCAATATTCGTAACTACAATAAAAATACACCTATCGGTTTTATAAATTGTATTGTGTATGTTTTTTCTTCTGCATTTGTATATCATTGAACTAAATGAGTGTCGAACATTTTGTCATTCATATCTTTCTGTTTATCATGGGTGGTATACACAACTTTAAAGTCTATTGTATACTATATAAACTTATATCATTGTTCATCCAATTATACTTAAGGGACAGTTATGGATGTTGGACGTTCATTAATTAACATCGTAGGGCATAACGAATCCGTTATTCTTTATACAAAATAATGCGAGTTATATTCTCGAACGATATGTAGCGTGTGTGCATTAAACATTACACTACTCTTCTGTATTGCAGTGTGTGTGAGTTTGTAAATGTGTGTGTGCAAATCAGGTAGACTTGGCATCGATTCATGCTAGTCTCTCCATTTGCACAGGGATCCTCTTCCCCGTTAACTTACATTTTGTTAGGTTTGCCGATGACTTGTGCGGAAACCAGTCATTATGGGTTCCTAGGCTGTTGTTTCTCGTCAACTGCGTAGGGGTTCCATGGAGTTAAAGGGATATAATCGAGCACTTTCATCCGTTGTATATGTATGTTTTCGAATAGCATAGTATATTTAATATGAAGTGCGATGTAATTTTACAAATCATTATCTCGATGGCGTGATTCCCTCAAATGAATGGAAACTGTGCAAGTATCATGTCCTTTTTCACAAGATGCTGTTTTTAGGAAAGAAACTACGTATAGACAAGCAGTAAATATAGTGAATGTAAATGTAAATGTAAATATAGTGAGTGTAAATGTATTTATTCCTGTTATTTTCTGCAAAATCCAAAACCATCTGTGGCTCGGGAGCTAGCGGATGGGGGGGGGGGGGGAGCTGAAGGAAAATATTATATTAGGAGACATTTTAATGAAATATCATATTGTGAGACATTTTAATTTATGACGCATGTTATTCATACGATTGTGCCGGTAACTTGATTTCTTCAATCGTTAAGAGTTCATTTTACTGTAGAAGTGTTGCCTTAATTATATCTCGCATTTATAATTATGAAATATGAATGTAAATGTATTTATTCCTGTTATTTTCTGCAAAATCCAAAACAATCTGTGGATCGGGAGCTAGCGGATGGGAGGGGGGGGGAACTGACGAAAAATACTATATTATATTATGAGACATTTTAATTTATGACCATGTTAAATGTAGGCAATAGGAAATTGAGGGGCACATGCACAATATAAATAATTATCCATATTTATGTACATAGTTTTCTATTGTTAAATGTTATATTGTATTTTCTATCATTTGTATTTTCACTGTCAAAAAAGTCATTGGAAGCAAAATTTCAATGTAATGTTTGCATGCATGGACCAATAAAATAATCTTGAATCTTGAATCTTGAATCTATATGCCTAAACAAATAACCTGAGAGACAATCAAAGCGTTGCCGTAATGTGTAATAAACTATACAAATGGGAATATTGTTATATTAACAAATACGGAAAATATTTTCATCTTCACAAACTGTTTTGCTATAGAGGCTATATAGTGAGTAATTGGTATCCAATATGGAATGATGATATGCCCCCCGCAGGTGAATCAGATCTGATTAAACCAGGGTTAATCCACTCTTCAACAGGCTTATACGTTCCCACACAGGGATTGCTTTGATATCCTCTCCGGAATGGTGTACTAAATTTCAGTGTATGCATGGTCTCAGTCAATGTGCACATGTATACATAAATACTATAGTTATATGTTTATAATTGTACATGTAATATCATTGAGCTTATAACGAAATAATTTGGACAGTATTTCTTCACTTACATATACTTTGAAGATTATTTTAATAACAGGATTGTGCACTTTTGTCATGATTGTGTTTGGTTATGATCTTTTAGAACAAAATATGATTTTGGTTAGGTGAGGAATCCTGCATTTGGGGGGGGGGGGGGGGAGGGCTACAGGTTTAGTTCACGCGTTTTCTAAATGCATCATAAATCTATCACAATAAGGGAGTTTACAGATACAATCTGCGCATGGGCAGATAAAGGTCATTTGTACCAAAATGGTAAAACCCAGAGAGATGAATACTGGATATGCGCTCATAAAAGTTATGTAACATTATTCATTTAAGCACAAACGGTACATTCTATGATACGCAGGTGGAAGCATTCTTTTCAAGAGGTCAAACCAAGGGTATTCATGGAGCACATCTAGGACTTTGGCAGTTATTATTCTAAGATGCTCAAAGTGAAACTTCTCCATGTGTAAAAGATCTGTGGATATTTGTGTTACTGTGTTGTGAAAACATCACATTTCGTTTATAGGTGTGCTGCTAGTCTAATTCCATACAAAGTCTTCTTGGGGCAGAAAATATGGTTGGATTTTGGCTGGAATTATGGCCCATGATGGCATGGTTTTTACCCTCTTACATATCTGTCAGTCAATTGTTCATTATAGTTTAAGGTCATCCACGATTGGGTGGATTATGTGTGAAATGTCTCATTTCCGCATAAGATGGGAACAGGCTGAAGTTGGTCTTGAATGTGGCAAAGAGGAATGAAGGACGGTACCTGATTGTCGAATCATATTACAGGACTGTGATTCGAATTAGCTAGCTGTGTTTTCATTAAAATTAATACTTGTATACGCATACTTATTCCAGTAGAGTCCAGTTATCACAATGAGAATAGATGGAAAAGCAGATAGGTGTGTTAATTTTGGCATTTAATTTCATTTGTAACTTTGAAAGCTAGCGCTGTAGAGTACAGATTAGCAGTCAACGCGCTATAACATATTTATATAAATACACTAATAAACAACTCTTCAATTATCAATACAATCTCTACCATAGAAATAACCTATTATTCAGATACAAAAGAAACCAGAAAGAAACGTATATACAATATCATACATTGTAAAATGTCCTTATATTTACACACTAATTTACATGTTAGTATGTACATATCGTTAACTAATATTATTACTAACTTCCTTTACACACCGGTTAACGTTATAATTATACAATACATGAAAACTCAACTTATCGTAGCTAATATATCAGTTGTTTTTATCACCGACAGTGTCGGTGATATAAAGAGAAAGACAAATGACGGAAATTTGGACATCTCACCCGTTCAAATAAGTGAAGTCCATCAGACACACCAGCTTTCAACAACTAAACTTAAGGGAAATTGCATTTAGTGTTGGACATGACTTTAATGTGAACTCTCCCTGAATAAAAAAAGAAGATTTTCAATGGCCATATTGATTTTGAAATTATTATTGATAACACAAAAGGTGTGTGTCGGGGGGGGGGGGGGGTGTATTATCAGTCAGGCAGTCGGAGAAAGGCATAATTTGCTAAGAATCCAGAGATTTGAGATTAGTTGCCAATAGGTCTATTTTTTAAACTTCATAATGCATGTACTTACTTCGATCAGGGAGGTGACTTAATAACTCCTTGCTTCGATGATCGTTGGTAGAAATATAAAACATTCCCCGTTTATGTCTTTACCATACTGGTAGAAGAAATTTAAAAGATTGTTACAAAGTAATAGGTCACGTAAATGGCGATATGTTTTTTTTTAACTTTTACCTCAAAGGCTTGTTCCATTTGGGTAACAAGCCATCAATAAAAATACCAACATTGTGTTTAAAAAAAAAATCAGCCTCCGAATTTTAACGATTACAGGATTATGCCGAAGGTATATAATAATGCACGCTAGCTACTGTTATATCAGAGATATGCACAAACCTGTCATTGTCTCAAAACCAGGAACGGTACAAGGAACTTAAGCGGGACTACATTACATGTATCTGCTTGCGCCCTTTATATAGCCAACAATGCCTAAGCGTTACCATGATCCCCTTTTTCTTATGTTCATTGAGAGCTGATTTGATAAAGTCTAATCCCTCCTGGCCAAACTAGTGCATATAGGCTTTAAGGAAGGTAAAATAATGTTTAATTATTGTGGTTCAAAGAGATTTCCTTGGAAACAGGACCAGTTTATAGCGGCCGTAGAAAAGCGATCTGAAACGTCTTGAGAAATAAAATCTGTATTATAAATATAATAGAATGGTCATTTTTTTTTTAAATAATATTTTTCGCTC